TTCGATGTCAAGTCATTATACACCAACGTACCAGTAAACGAAGCACTCCAGTTAATATCGGAATACGAAGACCTTCCTGACCATATCATAGAACTAGCTCACCACTGCCTCAACAATGCATACTTCATGTACGATGGACAAATGTACCGACAAACAGATGGAGCAGCAATGGGTTCATCATTATCACCGGCGGTGGCCAATATGTTCATGATTTACTTTGAAGAAAAAGCCATCAAAACATACGATAAAAAACCGAAACTGTGGCTAAGATACGTAGATGACGTATTTGTGATCTGGACCCATGGAAGAGTAGAACTTGAACAATTTCTTAATCATCTAAATAATCAACACCCAAAAATCCAATTCACCCTGGAGATTGAAGATAACAACCAACTTCCATTTTTAGATGTTCTCGCAATAAAAACACCGAGTGGTAAATTTGAACACACAGTATATAGAAAACCAACTCACACCGATAGATATCTACAAGCCAACTCGCACCACCATCCTTCCCAAATACAAGGAGTAGCTGACACTCTGATATCAAGATCAAATAGCCTGACCTGTACTACACATAGAAATGCAGAGCTCAAGAACATAAAAACAATACTGAAACAAAATGGATACAGCTCAAACACCATCTACAAAGCAATAAAGAAACAACGGAAGACCACACAAAACACACAAGAAGACAACAAAAATCAACCAAGAGCTATTCTACCATACGTGAAAGGAACCACCGACAAGATAGGGCGCATTCTCCGAAAAAAGAACATATCGACAATCTACAAACCGAAGCAAACAGTTCGATCGATCTTAAGAAACCCCAAAGATGCAACCAAACTGGAAAATCAGGGTGTTTACAAAATTGCATGTGGAACCTGTCACCAAACCTACATCGGACAAACCAACAGGAGAATTTCCGCAAGATTAGAGGAACACAAACTAGCAATTCGCAACAGACAGCTAACATCTGCTCTATTTCAACACGAGCATAACACAGGCCATAAAATAAACTTCGAAAGTTGCAAACAAATAGCCAACATTGAACACTTCAAAACAAGAACCATCAGAGAATCTATAGAAATTGAAAAAGAAGGTCTTCTTAACAAACGTGACGACTCCTTAAATCTGCCCCAAGCTTGGAAGTCCATAATCTCGAGACGCCAACATCAAACTGACTGCCTGAGCTTCGCTCCCCAGGGGGCGGGGCCTAGCGGCGTAACGAATACGGCCAATCAGCGACGATCCGCTCGAACAGCGCACGATATAAAAGAAGTGAGGACTGAGCGCAGCTCATTCAGTTACCGACTACGAGACCGAAGACAACGCACAGAAGATGCCAAGTGAGACCTTGGCGAAACGTCTGCAATTAAAAAATGACCAACGGATATTTTCCCGGAATAATTGTTCAACATATATATATATATATATATATATATATATATATATATATATATATATGTATATATATATATATATATATATATATATATATATATATATATATCGTACATTTAGTTCAATACTGCCACAACTCCAAAAATTCCAATTTTGAGTTAAGGCTTTAAAAAGGTTGCTTATATGTTACCCCATCTAATGCAATACAACCTTAACTGAAATATTGTCTTGGATAAGTATAAAGTAAGATATTTCGGTATTACACTGTAGGGTTTTGAAATGCAATATGGCCATAACTAGGAGATGTGGCGATAATACACTCCGCCGCAATACAACCGATGTAATTCAATACGGCCACAACTGCAAAAATTGTTAGACTAGTGGTACGATTTTATCAGTTCTCAATTATTTATGCACGAGGTATCCACGTTTTTAGTGTACTAAAACTAATGTAACTATTTGATTTAAAGTCTGAAAACAGTGTATAGTGATATTATTATTAACTATATTATCAAACACGATGTCAAGGGCAAGAAAAATGCTTGGACTAGCTTTGCAAAGCTATCTTAAAGATGATGAGAATCTGAGAGACAATTCAGAGGTTTCTGAGGTTATGAATGACATCTCCTTTGTGTTGACGGAGGTTTGTATTTCAACAAAAATCACAGTGAGGTTTTACTTAATGTATGTAATTTTTTAGCTTAATCCGGTTGCGTTACCCGTGCAATCAAATCATACCGCAAATACATTTGAAGATCAAGAAAATCTACATACAGACCCTCGCCAAGATGATTACATAGAGCAGGTATATTTTTATGAAACGAGAAACGGTTACTGGACCGGTGAAAAATAAAATAAGAGAACACATAAATTCTTTCCAAAGGGTAGAATCACATTATCTTAGAGCATAAACTACAAAGGAATACATAGATGGTTCACTTACTTTAGCTCAAATGTATCGCTACTACAAACTACAGGAAGCGAGTGAAGGAAGGCCTGTGGCTAAAAACTGCACTTACGAGCATATTTTTAAAACTGAGTTTAACATAACTTTCTTTCAGCCAAAAAAAGATCAGTGCGCAATTTGTGAATCATATAAATATTCTTCTGCTGTACAGCAAGCTACTCTTCATCAAACTTATAATAAACATATCCGTAATAAAATTAGAAGCAGAGAAGAAAAAGCACAAGATCTAGCAGGAGCAAAAGATGATTCTCAAGTATTGGTAGCTTGTTTTGATTTGCAGGCGATCCTTCCTACACCTTGTGGAGATGTTTCAAGCTTCTACTACAAATGCCGCCTAAACTGCTTCAACTTTACAATTTTTCAGATATTGGAAAAGACTGGTTACTGTTACTTTTGGCACGAGGCTATTGCTAACCGCGGCTCAAACGAAATAGCTACGTGTCTGTTTGATTATCTTTCAAATCATTGTAATGATAAAGACGTTATATTTTATAGCGACAATTGTGTTGGGCAAGATAAAAATAAATTTATAGTTACTATGTATCTCTATGCAATTGGAAAAATTAATGTTAAGTCAATCACACATAAATTTTTAACAGTGGAACATACCCAAAATGAAGGGGACGCCATGCACGCAACTATTGAGAGGCAAAAGAAGAAAATACTTAAAACAGGTCCCATTTATGTTCCTGCACATTGGCCTGTCATCATAAGATCTGAAAAAAAAAAGAAGGAAATCCTTACAATGTAAAAGAAATGTCAACAGAAGACTTTTATGACTTTAAAGATCTCAATTCAAAAATTGGAGGAAATTTTACAAAGAATACAAAAGATGAAAATGTAGTCTGGAATGATATCCAAGTTATTAAAGTTGTCAAAAGCAATCCTGGATCTTTCTTCTATAAAACAGATTATAATGCCGATGAGTTCGAAGAGGTCCATTTTAAAGCATCGACAAGGGGGCGTTCAGCAACTGTGGAAGCAGTAATCGATTTAAAAAAGGCGTACATAAAGCCTCCATCGATATCCGCAAAAACCAAGCAACACCTTTTGGAACTGTGCAATAAAAACTTAATATTACCTGTTCATCACAATTTTTATAAGGACTTAGTTAATAGTAATTAAAAAAAATGTTCATACATACTTGTAATAATAATAATAAAAATATTTTTTGTAAGAACTAGTTGATTTTTTTTATTATGTTGCCGCCGTATCTCCTATTTATCGTTTTATAAATGACTTTCTTCACAATGCAATATCGCCGTAACTATCAAAATATAATTAACGTTTTATTTTTAATAAATTGTAATAAGATCCAGCGAATAACTGTATAATTTGCTAACTAAATTGTAATTTTGAAGCCAGTTATTCTAAAAATAAATTATTTACAAGGCATAACTCGTTTGCTACAGAACGTTTTGCTCATTTCTCGAAATTATTGTATTTTGGACTTGTGGCACTATTGAACTAGGTGTGCGATATATATATATATATATATATATATATATATATATATATATATATATATATATATATAAATAATCTTTAATCTTATATAAATAATCTCAACGACTAGTGAGTTACACTGAAGAATTGTGATATTTTTTAAATATTTACATTTTTGTCTTATTGCAGTGTCTTGAAAAAGGAATAAAACCATTCCGAAAGCTCGACAAAAAAAGTCAAAAGAGTGTTTTTTTAACATCCCGGCCAATATTCTAATTCTATATATATATATATATATATATATATATATATATATATATATATATATATATATATATATATATGCAAAATATTACGCCTAATTATGATCGTGGTTGAAAGTCTTTGTTGATTATATGGCAAACTAACCTTTTATTTCCAATAATTCTCTACTGGCCCATTTTCTTCTTACGATTCTGATCTGCCCACCTTTTGCTCGTATTCTCAGTTGCTCTACACACGCCTGATATCTCCTGTGCTTGTCAACGTCTCTCGCACACACTATCGCCGCAAAAGTCTCTCCAAAATCACCTGGACCAAACTCCTTTCTCACAATAACCCAATTTCTCTCTAAGCGAAATTAGTTTACAAGAACTCTACTAACTTTTAATGCAGAATATCGAATAAAAACAACTTGCTTCTTCCTACGTTCAAATCACAGTAATCTTTCTTTTCCCAGGCAAAACCTGACTTCCTTCACTTTAATCCCTCCTTCTCCTTTTTAACAATCAGACACACATCCTACATACTAAGCTATCCCTTTCGACCAATTAAATTCTGTGACTTGTCAAACAAAAGCTCATGTCTAACAAAAGTAAATAATATTTATATGCTTTTTAGATATCAGAAATAATTGTTCACGAAGGGTATAGAGGGGAAAGTCATAGGTACATTGCTGATATAGCTATACTCATTACTCAAGAGATGTTCACACTCGATCAAGTTGTTCAGCCTGCGTGTATTGATTATACAAATAACGTATATTTAACTAATTATCAAGTAGGAGAGGTAAGTGAGTTTCTACATATTATTACACATTCTAATACAGTGAAGTGACCAGAACAGAAATGTATTACTTTTACTGATACCTTTATTCAAATGTTGACTATGATTAGTTTCAACATATCTATTTATTTTATATTTTTAGGTAGCTGGTTGGGGACTTACTGAAGACAAAAAGCCTTCAGAGCTTCTCAAATCAATAAAAATACCATACAAAGATACAGCGACATGTGCTAAAGAACTACCAGTAAGATTTGAGCAACAATATCATGTTTTTGACAAAATTTGTGCTGGTCATCAAAATAAAAGTATTGCAGTTTGTAAAGGTGACGGTGGAAGCGGACTTGTCCTTAAAAATCGAGAAGACAATAGGTATAAACTTTTCATATTGATAACAATAATTGTCATTAAAAAAATAGGTTTAGGACAACATTTTTTTTTAAATCGTTAACCATCGTCTTTCGATACCTAACGCCCAATTGTATTTTTAAGCTTAAACATAAAGTACGGCTTAAGAAAATTACAAAAAATATAAAAACTAACGAAGTAAAAAAAATTAATGTGAAAATTGTATTACATCGTTCCAAACTAACAAAAGTCCGTTATAATTTTTCTGTTTTTCATATCAAGTAACGATGTATTTCCAAACTAAGTGTATAAAATATGACAAATAGTAGAATAGAACTTTTTGTTATTTACAAAATTTTTCATATTTTACAGATACTACATTCAAGGAATAGTTAGCATAGCACCAAATTTAAATACTTCCGAATGTAATTATCAAACGAACGCTTTATATACTAACCTTTCATTCTACAATTCTTTTATAAATAGAGAAATTACTAAAAGTTACTTAGAGGACTGCTTACTTCCGGCGTATCCTAAAAATGGAAAATGGTTTCTCGAAGGTGGTGTAGAAAAAAAACCTGGTGATACTGTATTGTCCAGCACTCTTTTACAGTTTTCATGTAATACGGGGTATATTTTATCCACAACAGTCCCATATTATCGCTGTGATAGTTCTGATGAGCAACCTACTTGTCTAAGTAAGTATAATAGTTTAAAAATATTGTTAATTCAAGCCGGAAGAATCAAATAAGTATCATCATGAAACTGCAAACTATTCCGCTCCTTCAGGACCAAGTGAAGACTGTTGAGCACGATAATTCAGTGTTCAACATACTCTGAGATAAAGTTGAACAACCAAGGAATCGCTTTATGTACCATAGTTCAAATTCTCGACGTATCCAAATGTAAAATCTTAATTCATTAAAACCACGATTTCCCCATCCAGACAAATTCTTTTATCTCTTAAGAGCATGTGTAAATGTAAATACGGATGTGGGCGCTGTATTTGAAAGTTTTCGCCCACTAATATTGGTTGGATCTAAGACTTGGGAAGTGCCGTAGATACCAGAGAAGCCAGTGCTCGAAAAGAGTATATGGTTCTATTTAGATGTTTTTTCTATAAATTTACTGACTCATTATAGTGAAGCACTTTAAGGGAAGCTGTGAAATATTTCTATGTACAGGTATAATTTACAATGGGACCGGAAACCACAGAAAACTGATCCCTAGCTTTCCTTGTGGACAACTGTGAACAGCTCCCTTAACTGCTGTTTGGTGCCAATTGTTTTGGGTGGAGGTATTAATGGAAATGTTTAGACTTCATTTGCCTCTTGTCTGGGCTTTTACCTAAAACATCGAGGAGCCTCTGCGATTGAGGTCAATGATGGCACTTAAAATTTTTATTTAAGTTATATTTTTATTAAACTTTGTATGTTAATTTTAGAACTATGCCCTAAACATTCATTACCTAACGAAACACAAATACTGTGTAATAATTATAGAGATCAGTATATAGACTGTTCAAAGCTTGCTGATGGTGACAGTATAACGTTTACATGCCCAGACAGTTTTGTGTCAGACGGAGAAGCACCTACTACTACAAGGTAAATATTATGGTAATATCATATTCATATTTTAATAAAATTTTTCTGTCAATTTCGTTAATCAATGATCCGGCGGACACATTGGTGTGAGTATTTTAACGGTTAGGGTCATTCCATTAAAACATTTTTCGAACACTTTGAAGCTTTGAACTAAAATTCGATATACTTTGTTTGAAAATGTTTGATAGCTCAGTTTTAATGACATACTTGATAATTTTCAATGTATTGTCACAAACCAGTGATAAATAATTTCAAAATTATAATAAGCTAGCAGTAATTTTATTAAACCAATAATATAGATACCTACTTAATCATATCCGATATAAAATATTATCACTTAAAATCACCTTACCATCTTTGAAATTGACTTTGGTTTTACTAATGTTTAGTTCTTATCATTATGGTCATCTTGGCAGATGTGTTGTGGTTCATTATTAAGCTTTAGCAGCTGGGATAGTCTGATCACTGATACTTCTCCATTAGTAGCGGTGATCTGTTACATGTACTGCCTTAGTTTTACTAAGCTCAATTTTATAACCACTTCGATGGATATGACAAAAGAACTTTAAAATTGTAATTTAGGTCTACACCTTACTTTATATTCACAGTTCTCACGCGGTCCAGTACGGTCTGTAGATCATTTAGGCTGGTTATTCAGCATATTATTGTCGGCATAGTGGAGATTGTTGATATAATTCTAATTCCTATTTTAAGGTCTGGAGGGTTTTAGTGAAAATCTCTTTAGGGTATATAATAAAAAGAGTCGGCAAGAGCACATATTCTTGCTTTGTCCCTCGCATGATCTTCATCTGGTAGGTCAACTTGTCTTAGACCCTGACTTCAGCACGTTGATTCCAGTACAAATTCATGATTATACGAATGTCCTTCTTTGCTTTTTCTACTCCTTGTAAGACGTAGAGAAAGCTTTTGGCTTAATTAATAATCAAATGTAGACATGCTGTTTCGCCTGGTATTATTTCTAGTATTTCCGTTTATCCTGTACTCTTATTTGTACACTTGCGCTATTATTTTTCTGCCTACTAGAAGAAATCTTCTTGGTCGTAAGTGCAATTTTTTCTTTGCCTTTTTTGTAATGTTACAACGTGGGCTCCTTTTCATCGATTTGAAAAAAGGCTGTATCTTAGCATTGCGTTTAGTATGTTGGTTAGTTGAAGACTAATTTAACTAGAAATCATTTCAGAGCCCTGTTTGCTATCTAATCAGGACTTTGAGCTTTTCTTGTTTTTCCTGATCAGCTCGCTCACCTCTGTTGGGAAAGTGGTTGTTTCAAGCATTTCGTCATAGATCTCCTCAACTTTGTCTTTCGTGAAATAGACAATACTTAGTATCCTTTGGAGCTTCCATAGTTCTGTCATATTTTAGCCTAATTTTTCTATTTTCTTACACTCACGTTCTTCTTACATTTGGCATCTGTAATCTAACAGTTCTTGTTTGACTTGGCGATTTAGTTGGTTTACCCAGTTTGTACCCTCATGATTTTTGGTTTTCTGGATATTTTTTTAATTAATTCTCTTTATATTTATATAGGCTAATTTTCCTATCTACCTTTTGGAATTATGTTCATTTTTATTATGCTATTTGTTAGCACTTTTTGATGATGTCTTCGAACGCTACGACGCGCGACGCATTTCTGCAAAATCTTCTAACCTGTGGAGGTTTTGTGTTTCAGGATGAAACACAATTTGGCTTCAAAAATGGACTGGGAACTCGGGACGCCCTCTTTGCACTAAATGTATTACTGCAGAAATGTCGAGATCAAAGGAAAGGCGTCTTTGCTGTATTTATTAACTATGAAATGGCCTTTGATCGAGTCCAGCATCACAAATTAATTACAATATTAAAAGATAAAGGAGTTGATAGTCAAGACATACGATTCATAGAAAAGTTATACTGGTATCAAACAGCGACAGCTTGCATAAACGGAAAATCAACAGAAATATGTAAAATACAAAGAGGTGTCAGACAGGGTTGTATACTATCCCCACTGTTATTTAATTTATATTCAGATAGAATATTTAAAGAAGCGCTGCATAATTTGGAATGGGGCGTGAAAGTTAATGGAATTCTGATAAATACAATCAGATATGCATACGATACAGTTATTTTAAGTGATGACATGAATCGATTACAATGCCTTTTAAATGCCATTTATACAGTGGGAAGAGAGTTTGGCCTAAACATAAACTGTTCAAAAACAAAACACATGGTGTTTAGCCGTTTAGCACATCAAGATGCACGATAATATGTTGATGGTCATATAATTCAAAGGATGTCCAGTTTTAAATATCTTGGTTGCCATCTTACTAAACAACTAGATCCAGATCAAGAAATAAAATGTAGAATCGAGATAGCCCGCACGACATTTTTAAAAATGAGATCATTCTTCTGTAATGATAACTTGCAACTTCAACTTCGAAAGCGCATGGTTAAATGCTACATTTGGTCAGTCCTCTTATACGGTGTCGAAGCATGGACATTAAAAATATCCACCATTAATCGTCTGGAGGCCTTTGAAATGTGGCTGCACAGACGTATACTAAAAATTCCATGGACGGCTATGCTGACAAATGTGGCAGTCCTTGAGAGAGCAAATGCTGCTCGCGAGCTGCTTGATAATACCAAATTTAGAAAGATGGCCTATTTTGGACACGTAGTAAGGAGAGGCCAATATAATATTTTTCAACTTATTATGATGGGTAAAATCGAAGGACGCAGAGGAATTGGTAGAAAGCAGGCCTATTGGTTGAAGAATATCAGGAAGTGGACAGGAATAAAGAAAGCTGAGCAACTATTTAGAATAGCTCGAGACAGAGATAGTTTCGCCATGTTAATCGCCAACGTCAAGGGGACTTGATAGGGCACGTTAAGAAGAAGGAGGTTTAAGATGTTTTTATTTTCCTCACTAACTATTCTGTTATATGTGTTAGATTATAAAATATTTTAACTCCATATAAAAAAATAGCTGGGGGTTTAGATACACTGTAGCACATTAAATGCATCTGACGTTTGAACATCCACTCCGGAAATCGTTTTTAAAAAAATTTTATAAAAACTTCTGGGGAAAATGTATGACCACAATTTTGTAGGCAGTCGCATGTAAATAACTGAAAAAATCTGAGGATGATGTTTTTACCCTAGAAATTTCAAATTCTAACTTTTTTAGTGCTTTTTTGTGTTATGTATTTGTGTAAACTGTATTGTAAGTGTGATTGTGTAACGTAAATTGTGCAATGTAGATTTGTGTTTTGTGTATTGTGTTTTGTATATGTATTGTGTGTAATGACAATACTTTTTGACCTACCGTTATTCCGCTGTTGTTGGTATATTCTTGTTGTTGACTACTGCTTTTAGTATTGGTAATCAAAGCCTATTAAATTCTGCTAGTTGGTTTGCTACACATTTTTTTCGTTAAGTAAGATGAGGACTGCTTATTTGACTTTTGTCTTATTCACGTTTGTTTATTTTATGATTATCAACGCTTCTCTTCATTTTAGTTTGTCATTTTTGTCCCAGCATGTTTGTATATCTAGGATTTTTCGAAGTATCTGATATGATTTATCCTGACACTTGCGGTTTCTCCCACATAGAAAGTGTTGCATTCACAGGGTATTTTATAGGTGCAGTTTTTTCTTGTATTTTGTTGGGTTTGATTTTGGACAGTATAGATCTTAGTGTGTTAATTGCTTTGAATGTTGTTTTAATGTTGTTCTTGTTTACTTTCATCTTCAGTTTTTCTGAAAATCCCTTTACATTATGTTATTGTTGATGTCTTTAAGTCCCTTCTTGTTTCTTAAACCCTTGTAGTGTTTTGTTGTTTTCTTTCTTTAATCTTGTGGAATTCCTTGTTTATAAATGACAATGGGTAGTCATTTACATTAAATGTGTTGCTAGTTTTCAGATTTTGTGAGTTTACATTATATGTTGGAGTGATGGAATCTCTTTTATATTTTTTTACTAGGTAATTATTACTCGTGATTTATCATTGGTGAATGTACGATGGCTCCGTGTCAGTGATTTCGTCTGAAGAATGATTACTCGGTAGTGTAGATTTGATTACGTGAGATTTAGACGATTTTGTAAGCAGTAAGTAATATTGACAGAATGATTGTATTGATTGTTTGAGAAAAATTGTAGTCCTAGCTAAGTAGAAATATATTTTGGTAAAAAATTTTGTTTAAAGCAGACATTTAAATCTAATGTCGATATTAATATAGTAATGGTTGCCTATAAACAGTAATATTAAAAAGCAAAATACTCACAAATGAATTACTTTGATTAAAAGTTGGTACACTCATTGTAAACTAAAGTTTGATCTTTAAAATGTTACTAGATCTTAGACTATTTATTGTTAAACTATTTATAAGCAATGTCGTTACCAAGGGCCACTTTTTAATCACCACTTTAATTCGACTTGTCTGAATTAAATAACTTTTATTCGTAAATTTTCATTATTTATATGATCTTCTAACTTATAGTACTTTTAGGTACTGTCGACAAGGAGTATATTGGAATTCTGCACCTTCCTGTATAAACGTTAAAGGGAAGCCCAAGCCCGTTCGTCAAGATACACCAACGACAACAATAAGTACGAACCCTAATAGCACACGTACGTCCAGTGGACGTCCTTAGTACGTCCCTCATGTCCCCAAGACGTCTCTCGAACGTCCGCTTTGGTCCCAAGGACGTCCTTTTAACGTCCTATATTGGTCCGAATGTTGCTGCGCCAAACGTTCTATGGAAGTCCATTTTACGTCCCGAGCGGACATTCGTTGGACTTACCAGAACGTTAATTGGACATTAATCGAACATTTATAATACGTCCTTAGGACTTTTTTGACGGACTTTATTGTGATGTTCTTGGACGTCTATTTTAGTAAACGTAAATGTTTAAAGGATCTTACACTTATTTATATTTATTTATTATTAACAAACGGGACAAATCCACTGTCAAAATTATACAAAAATGTATCATTAAAGAAATATAAAATGATTTTGAGTAACAAAATATACATGTTTAAAGGAACTAACATTTATTATGACATATATTTATTTATTAATAACAAATGAAAAAAATTCACTATCAAAATTATACAAAAATGCAACATTATAGAAATATACACAAAATTACAGATAAAAATAAAATATACATAAATAAAATAAATAAGTACATATTTAGCTTACCTAAAGCTATTGATACAAAAGTTTCAGACCATACCTATATTTGAAACATAATTAGTTCTGCGGTAAGGAACATGGAAATGTAAATTCTCACGCAATGAATGAGGAGGAATATGAAAACAAACTTGCTGAAACAATTCAGGAGATTGGATATTTTATGACCAACTTAAAAAATAAAGATTGAAAGAGAATTCAGATTCAAGACATTGATTATACCAGGATAAGAATATGGTCTACACAATTTACAACAACAGTAGATGTTTGTAGACAAGTCAGTATAAATCTAATCGACATAAAAAATGTTCTTTAATATAATTATAACATAATCACTGTAAATTAGTAGCAGTTGAATGACTACACAGTAAACCACGCTGATCAGTATGAAGCTGATTTTTCAAATTTAGTGTTAAAAAATCAGTCAGTAAAGCCTCGAAAATTTTATTAATGACAGAAAGAATTATAATGGAACGATAAGTAGAAATCAATGAGTTTGATAAAGCCAATAAATAAATTGTGATGGAAAGTTACCCTCAGTCAGACATTTATTAAAAATAAGCCATAGCTAAGATGAACATAAACTACATAAAAAGAATGCACAATTCCTTAAAAATATGTTAAGATATTCCGTCTGGACCAAGACCTTTGTTGTACTGTACTGTAAGCATGCTAGAATGTCACAAATTTTGATAGCGAAAGAGTGAATATGGCTGTGACTGATATAGGATCTTGGACTACACTTGTCTACACAGGAGAAAGTAGAATTGTGAATACTGCTAAAGAAATTGGCAAAATCGTTGAAAATGACTGTGGCTCACTAAAAATAGAACCATTTAACTTCCCTTATCCCTTCCCATTCTGATTTTCTTTACAATTGTGTGGTTGGCAATTAAAAGCAGACAAGTCTATTTTTGAGTTTTAAAGTTGAAATTATATCTACGAAAAAGATCAATACTTAATATGAAAATGTGTCTGTTTTATTTTAGCAGTAGATACATTTCTAGGTACCTATTTTATATAAATAAAAATGTCTCAAAAATTGGCTGTCCTGTTCTGTCCACCAACCACACAATTTAACCATTACAAAATCAATCATATTTGCTAATCCAACATGCAAATTAAATTTAATTTATATTTTTATTTCAGTATTATAGATCTCTTTAGATATTTCATTATCAAGTTTCAATTTCCTTTGCCATGGCAATGCTACTTTTGGAGTTTTTCCAAGCAACATCTGAAAACAACATTAATGTACATTCATAAATTGAACAAACTAATTTCAGATTTAGTTTATTATACTTTGCTTATTGTCAATAAATTATCATTCAAAGGCATAACATTAAACACATGCATTTCAAGTGCTGTAGTTTTAATGAATCTCACCTGAACTAGAATAATAGCAACCCAACCATTGGTATTTATTTCTAATGACCAAATGAGCAGTAATTACACTTTGATACTTAAAAAACAAAAAAGTGTATAGATAAAATATACGGCCAACAACAAACCTTCATCTCATATCTCTAGCTGTAGTTCTTAAAGCAATTTTATAGGCAGACCTATGATATCTTGAAGATACCATGGACAGACAAAGTCACCAATGAAGAAGTACTGTGGAGGATGAATACAACTGAGGATTTGGTCAACATCGTGAAGGGCCGTAAGCTGCAGTACTTGGGACATATAATAAGAAATCAAGGCAGATACGAGCTACTTCAATGCATTTTACAAGGTAAAATTGAAGGAAAAGGGCTCCAGGACGAGGAAGAACATCCTGGTTTGCTAAACTGAGAGCATGATATAGAAAGGCCTCAACACAGCTATTTCGAATAGCAACCAACAAAGTCATCATAGCCAGAATGATCGCCAACGTTGGAAACGGACAGGCACCCTAGAAGAAGATAATCAGACCTGAACATTTGTTAGTTGGTAAATTTTGCCATTTAAATTACATATAATACACAGTTAATGATATGCTTTATTGGCTGTAGGTGGCCACTTAAGTGATAGTGTACATTCTTAAATGTACCTTGAATTTATTTATGTTTACAAGTTAAAAACCTTTTAAAATTAGAGCCATTTGTGTGTATTCAAACGCTGTATATTGCTTTTTCCCTATCCAACTATATTTTCCTTGAATTGTATTGCAGATCAGCTTCTTCGGGCTTCTCCTAACAACTTAGTTTATGGTCTCCTCACCAATTTAGGAAAGCTCATTACCCTAAAATATAAATCAACATGTAACAATAATCTAACTACCATACAATATTGGAGGAATCCCAGTTAGGGAT